ATGAGAGTCAACCCAAGGTACTACGGAGGTCCATGGAGGGGAGAATTTGTACTAAACTGATCCAAGGACAGAGATAATTCCACTGTCATCACATGCAGTTAAGGGGAAATAAACTCCTACCACCACCATGCTCCTACTAGCTTATATTGCCGATTTACTTTCAGGCAAAAGAATGGTTTTAATGTTTGGCAATGTTATGAAAACACAAAAAATGTATTTCTGAAACTTCTTATACAGTTGATAAAAGCCCATTTATATACAGAATACAGAAATTGCTTCCTATAAAGCACTAACTATTAAGATTCAAAGGTCACATTAAAATATTTCAGATGAAATGTCTTCCTTTAGCTAGAGGAACCACACTGTAAGAAACCAAACAATTGGCCAGATTTCATGTGTCATCTAGAATACACTTAATTTACGATAGGCAGTAACTATTCTTAGTTTCAGCTGGATCTCATTTATGACACCCGATGTTCAGATTGGAAACATACTTTCATGTATGCCTAATCACACAGGTCTTTGCAACACAAATTGCCTTAGCCAATTCATTGCAAAGGTGGTGGGGAAATTGACCATCATCTAAATAAACAATGGCAAAATTTTGCAAAGAGTGTGATCAAATGTAAATTGCAATTATTTTGCACTGTCCTACTTCAGCCAACACTGCAATGACATCGGGGAGAGGAAGCAGTCGTTAAAACAGTTAAGTCAGAATTTCCACCTTAGAAGGCTGATTCTGCCCAGTGCTGAGCAACCCTGAATTAATTTCTCCTCTTACTGATACTCAGCTGGTTTCAATAGACAAAATCTTGCTGGTTCGTTCTGGGAACACCAACTCTCTCAGATCTGTTTTGAATACTAATATGAAAACTCAGCTCTGATGTCTCTGCAAATTCTGAGAGATGCTTTGGATATTAGCATGAAAGAATGTGAAGTGTTAGATAAGTGAAAATGAGATATGAGTGGGCAATCTCATGTTAGCAAGATAGATTGATGTTAGGTTGCAAAGAATGCTTTAGAGAAAACAGAAAAAGGAGAAAATGAGTAAATAAATGAGTAAATGGCCTGACTCCTGGTTTGGTTTGTGCCATATTTGAACCCACAGTACTGCGTTGCCATCAGTACATCATACTGCTAATACACACACTGGAGGATGCTCTGAGCAAAATAAAGGGAGATCTCAAGATAAAAGCACTTTAAAAAACCATGGATAGCTGGACTAAGCAAAATACAACATCCAAACAATGAGTGAAGAGTGGGGTAGGAGGTAACAGGAAGTCCATACTCAGAGACCAAGTGCTCACAATACAAATAAGTATCAAAAGATACAAATCAGACAAGGGAGATGAATGTTACTGAGTCCAAACAGAGAAGTCTCTTCACTCAAAGCAGAAGGAGTTCTGCTGCCTGGGACACCTGTGCCAAGATGAAGCAGAACTCCTAATGAAGGAAAGTTGGACAAAAGCTCCTCTGAGTGGATGTATGGCTTCTCTTGCATTTAATTTGAGCACTGAATTTAACTTGTTGCGACATTTCTGCATGTGGTCTGTGTAGATCTGGATGTTTAATAAGTTCCAATCTCTGACTTTGGATGCCAGCTGAAAACTGACAAAGAAAGCAGCTGGCTATTGTGTTCCCTGGTCCTTGCCCAATATTGGCATGCCTCTTGCTCTGTGCATCTGTGCTATTTGCAAGCACGCAGTTCCACTCAGTCTCCCCTCTGTGTACGTGGGAAAGAAAATTAGGTTTTGATCACTTATTTCTAACATACCGTTTCTCAGTTGCATTTCTCTATTCCCCCAAGGCATAGCCTGCAGAGAAGCATGCCAGACTTATCTCTTCTTCAGCAGTTCCTGCTAGCTCTAGGGCCTTTCTCTTCAACCCAAAGTCGAGAGAGCATTCAGGCCATACAAATCAGTAAGTTTAGGACAATTCCACTGGAGAATGAGAAGCAGACCTGGCAAACTTAAGGTAAAATTCTACTAGTTAATAATTTATTAAGCTTTCCATGGTTCTCATCCATCTTTTATGACATACAATTTACCCACAGAGAAGCTAGTTCATTTGCTTCAGTGCTCACTATTTAGATACCTGTCCTGAAGCAACCAGTATTTAGAAGAGGCTTTAAGGTGGTCTGTGAAACATACACATAGAAAGCACACAGGCTTTCTGTTGAAAGCTTCGTTAATTTTTCTAGGAGGCAGCATTTTGTGTAAGAGATGCTAGTGTAAAACTAGAAGTGTATAACTTGTATGTTACACTTAATTTCATACTTATCAACCAGAAACCATGAAGTCTCTGTAAGATGAGCAATGGTATCAGTCAAGCTGGGAGGCCACACTTTGGAACCTGGGATGTTTGAAAACTAGGCAACAGCCACAATTTACCATCCTATACCCTGATAAGCCATTTACCAGACCAAGAGGCAATTTTCAAAGAGCCTCAACTTGTACTTGATAACACTGATTCTGATGTTACAGGAGCAACATCAATACTCTGTACCAGAAGGCAGTACTTCAAATCCTTCAAAGCAAATGGACTGAATAACAGATGCCATGAAAAGAGAAAGAAAAAAAAAATAGAAGAAAAAAAAAAATTGTCATGGAGAAACACAAACTGAAGTGTGGTAACTTTTTATCAGTGAAGTCCTCTGACCATCACTGTCTCATTCTTGTGAAACCAGACACATTCTAAGTCCAAGAAAGGGCCATTGTTCTTTGTTAGAATGTTTACTTGGTTTTAGTAATGTGATACATACAATTTTTATCTACTTCCTATCAGACCTGCAGTCCTGCCTACAATGAATACTATACATTTCTTAAGACTGTTTAGAAAATACCATTAAAATAACTTATATTTAGTCGTATATTTACATAATTAAACATTATCCAATGCTTTTCTTGCCAGTTACCATCTCTGTCTGTAGTACTATGGATAAATTACTTCAAGTATTACTTAAGTATTTTATACTTAAAGTATACACTGAAGTTTGCAAAAAACCCACTACACACTACCAGAGTTTTACAGACTTCATGTACAAATTCAGCATGAGATACTGTTAGGTACCAAGCCTGTGTTAACAGAGAAAGTAAACATCACAGAAAGGTCTCCTGCAGCCCAAATCATCAATGACATACAGCCCAATACTCCCATCACAGGACAACTGTGAAGGGACACCTTCCACTAGTCTTGGCTGGTCAGAACTGTTTACCTCATTCTGAATACTTCCAAAGATACCCACAACTTTTCTGAGTAACTTGTTTCATTGTCTCAGCAGCCCCATGATAAAAACCGTTTCTATATCCAATCTAAACATACCTTCTTTGAGTTTAAAACTGTTGCCCTTGGTCCTGTCATTGCAGGTGAAGTCTCTCTCTCCATCTTCCTCATAAGTCCCCTCTGTGTTCTGAAAGGCCTCCCTAGAGGCCTGTTAGGTCTTCCTAGAGCCTTTTCCTCTCCAGTCTGAACAACCCCAACTCTCTCAGCCTGTTCCCTTCAGAGAGGTGGTTCACCCCTCTGATCATCTTTGTGGCCCTCTGCTGGACTTGCTCCAACACATCCTTCTTACAGAAGCTGTATGCAATACTCCAGGTAGGGTCTCATGAGAGCAGAGGGGCAAAATCACCTCCCTCAATCTCCTTTGGATGCAGCCCAGGATGTAAGTGGACTTCTGGGCTGTGAGTGTACACTGCTGGCCCATGTTCAATTTTTCATCCACTAGCACCCCAAAGTCCATCTCCATAAGGCTGATCTCAATCACCTTCACCCCAAGTCAAATGCAGCATCTTCTCCTTGGCCTTGTTGAACTTAACCCCCACTCCTTGAGCTTGTCAAGGTCCCTCTGGGTGGCATTCCTTCCCTCACTCCAAGGAGGACCAAAAGCTTGGTCCTTTTGCTTTCCACAAATTCAATCCCACTATCTTACTAAATTGATGAAAATACTACACAATATTGGTACTGCAGTTAGAGTACAGGTCCCAGGCCTCTGAGGGAAACCACCCATTCCTGGTTTCCACTTGGATACTGAGCTACTGACTGTAACTCTGGATGCAGCCGTCCTTACTAGTGTTGTCACTTTCAGAATTTGTAACAGAAATCTGTAACAGAACCCACTATTTATGGAGCTGCTCTGTGCCACTTTGCTGGGACACTAAGTACTCAGTATATAAACAAAAAAAAAAATTTGTGTAACAATTAACCATTATATGCCACTACCAAATGCAGAAAGATAAACCCAAGGGTATTGAAAATGGATACTCAGAAAAAGCTCTCTTAGAACACTCAGATATGAAATCCCTGGCTCTGATGCATTTCTCCAAAACTGCTTGTGGAAGAAAGATAAACGTGGAAATTCTTAAGGCTGGGTATATGGAATATATATATATATATATATATATTCTTAGTGGAAGGCAATGAAAAGTATGTTCAAGCTCTGGCTCCTGCAATCTAAGTTCTTAAAAAAACACCAGGAAATAGAGGAAATTGGTTAAGCTATTTTTCCCAGTACCTGAAAAGCACCTCTACTGGTTTTGGTAGGAAGAATACACCCACATCTAAAAGCTTTCACAGCAGGACACTGGGTGTCTAAAAGAAAAAGACTAGGAAGCTAAAGTGCTTGTGTACCTGCTTTCTTGTATTTTCCTTAGGATTAGTATTTTTTTTTTTTAACAGTACTATGAAGACCCTTACCATTCATGTTTCTGATCTTTTCTTTGCATTGTGATCCACTTCCGCAGCAATCCCTGCTGTTCAGGGACTTAGAACCTTAAGTTCTGAGCAGCACAGTATTTTATAAAAAGTGTCTTTCTGAAAGTGTTGTTTAAAAGTTATCACCACCAACCTGTTCCATGAATGGCAAAAATCATTGTGAGACATAATGACTAGAGGTAAATAAACATCCCTCCCCACCCCC